TTCCACACCTGTTACATACGTGTTATACACGTGTTCCACACCTGTTACATACGTGTTATACACGTGTTCCACACCTGTTACATACGTGTTATACACGTGTTCCACACCTGTTACATACGTGTTATATACGTGTTCCACACCTGTTACATACTTGTTACATACGTGTTCCACACGTTTCTGTATCCAGGTCGTGGCTGACACCAACATCAGCGCTGTGGCCTCTCAGGTGGAGAGTCTGAGCAGCACCTCGGGGCTGTCCAGCACCGACACACACACCTCTGCTGACCCAGAGTGAGAACACACACACCACCTCAGTTAGTAAAATCACAAACCTAACCTGATCTCTGACCTTTGACCCTCTGTCCTCAGGGGTCCACGACCCCACATCATCACTCTAGAGAAGGGTTCAGAGGGACTCGGCTTTAGCATCGTTGGAGGATTTGGCAGTCCACATGGAGACCTGCCAATCTACGTCAAGACCGTCTTCAGTAAGGTCAGAATCTAAACCCTGACTCAGACCGGCTCTGTGTGTTTGTAGTGGTGCAGGTGGGGGTGGGCAGGTCATAACCACACTGTGTGTGTGTGTGTGTGTGTGTGTGTGTGTGTGTGTGATTCAGGGCGCGGCGGCGGTGGACGGGCGTCTGAAACGAGGCGATCAGATCCTGGCAGTGAACGGTGAGAGCCTGCAGGGGGCGACACACGAACAGGCCGTCTCAATTCTGAAGAAGCAGAAAGGAAGTGTGACGCTGGACATCCTGTCCTAACAGGAGCCTGCCTGCATGCTAACACACGTATGAACACATGAACCCTGCGGGGGCCACACCCCTCCACTTCCAGGAATTCAGGTCAACCAGGATCATCAGCTCAGAGCTTCCCAACATGCAAAAAATCTGTCAGACATGCCCATTCCTGTCCTGCTGGCCAATCAGGTGTCCCCTGGTGTTGGCCCTCCCCCAGGTGTCCTCACCTGGTGTTGGTCCCACCCCAGGTGTCCTCACCTGGTGTTGGCCCCACCCCAGGTGTCCTCACCTGGTGTTGGCCCTCCCCCAGGTGTCCTCACCTGTGTTGGCCCTCCCCCAGGTGTCCTCACCTGGTGTTGGCCCTCCCCCAGGTGTCCTCACCTGGTGTTAGCCCACCCCAGGTGTCCTCACCTGTGTTGGCCCACCCCCAGGTGTCCTCACCTGTGTTGGCCCACCCCCAGGTGTCCTCACCTGGTGTTGGCCCTCCCCCAGGTGTCCTCACCTGTGTTGGCCCTCCCCCAGGTGTCCTCACCTGGTGTTAGCCCACCCTCAGGTGTCCTCACCTGGTGTTAGCCCACCCTCAGGTGTCCTCACCTGGTGTTGGCCCCACCCTCAGGTGTCCTCACTTGGTGTTGGCCCACCCCAGGTGTCCTCACCTGTGTTGGCCCACCCCCAGGTGTCCTCACCTGTGTTGGCCCTCCCCCAGGTGTCCTCACCTGGTGTTAGCCCACCCCCAGGTGTCCTCACCTGTGTTGGCCCACAGTTCAGTGGTTCTGGCCCCACCAACCCTTTCAGAACCGTCAGAGGCCCACTTCCTGTTCATGTGAAACTCTGATCCAGAACCACCTTTAATAATTTATCTTTATTGAATCATTTGTTCACAACTTTCTTTAAAGTTCAGTTTTGGATTCAGATTTGTCAGATTATTATTTTTTAATTCTCATCACATTTGTCTCCATGGAGACGAGTCTCAGGAGCCTGTCGCCACGGCAACAGATATGGTGTCTTCCACAGGAAACTGATTCGAAGCTTCAGACTGAAATTGACCAACTTAAAACCAGAAAATAATAATTCACAAGAATTAATCTACTAATAATAATACACAATTCATAAAGTACACAATGCTAACAGAGGACTGGAGAGGTCAAAGGTCAGATCATGGCTGTGTCCAAAACGACAGGCCGGGTCCTCCGGAG